GGTAAGAGCCTCGGCAACGCGGAGGGGTCAGTGGCCCGAGGAAGACCCAGAGAGAGGGCTGCGGTCCAGGGAAGACCCGGAAGGAAGGATGTGGTCCAGGGAGGACCTGGAGAGAGGGCTGCAAGCCAGGATAGACCCAGAGAGAGGGCTGCAAGCCAGGGAAAACCCGGAGAGAGGGTTGCTCCGGGAGATACCGGACAAAGAGTGGCGAGTAGCTGGCACGGGAGGGGCGACGGGGCTACGGACCCCCACCAGGGGGTTTAACAGGGGCAGGGTCATGCCTCACATTAGGCGCAGAGAGCCGTAGTTAAGTTTGAAAGAGTTTTGTTTCTTTTGTGTTACCCCAGGTCAGAAGGGGCTGAGGCGTATCAATAGGGAGATTGAGCGAAGGGTGAGCTTGTTAGTGGCATGCCTGAGGGAGTACGCAAGCACCAACAGAAATACCCAAGATCCTCTAGGCGGGGTAAGGGCAAGGTGTAGGGGAGGAGGAGCCTCGCAGAAGACACCTACGACGCAGGTAGCTGAAGAGGGTAATCGCACTACATGAAGCCCCACCCACTGAGAGATCAAAGTCGTGGCAGGCAAGAAAGGGGCGGGCTGCAGCGCGCGGAAAGATCTCCCCGAAGGCTACCGGCGACGGCAAGCCAGATATCAGCAAACCCTTGGAGCAAGGAAGCCTGAGGTAAGATGTTTGAGGCCCGGCGGTTACACAAGAAAAAGGGGGCATGCAATTAAACCAACAGGCAACAAATGTAAAGTTAATGAAAGGAAACACATCTGTTGTTCATTGTTTTTTATACAATGCTGAATTTGCTCATGGAACTTACTGTCATTAGATATTACTGAGATATAAAGCTTGGTAAAATATAAAAATAATATGCTATGTTTATGGATAATGAGACCACCTGTAGTTATATTAGTCAGTACTTTAAAAAAAAAAAATCAGTGAAGGATATAACCTTCATATTTCACAACCAGTAATCAATGGAGGTTAGAAAGCAGCTTCCTTTTTGGGCAGTTTTCTCTAACTGTACACTATGTGGTTTTGTGGACCTTATTCTGAAGTACCTGGTACTAGTTAGTGTCAGAGACAGGTGATACTGGACCATTAATTACTTTCTATATTGTTACTCCTATGTACCTATATGTGTTGCCATAGCCCTATGACTCAGAGTAATAACCCCCTGAGTACCATCACAAATGCTCCATATAAATTTATCTGGGGGTCATAAATTCAGCTTTCCCAAGGAAGCAGCTTGAAAACTAATATTTCTGGTCATTCAGCATTTCCCTACTCCCCATGACAACACAATGTCACTGAAGTAACAGATTTTTATTTAAAATGAATAACCTGTGTTGGGGAGGAGAGTGACTCTGAGCAGGACTTGGTGACCTGTGATGTTGAGAGGTGGCAAATGAAGCTATACGTTGAAAAGCTGAATCTCTTTGAGTGGGAGAATGTGAATAATTTACAAGTTCATCGGTGTCAAGAGATGATGAATCATGTTCAGATGTGTTCTGTTCATCTGGCTCCCTGATAACCTGTGGAACAAGGAAACATCACTCTTCAGTTAGCATTCAAGCTGCAGCAGGGAGGGGGACCGCGGCAGAGAAGAAAGAAGGAGAAAGTGAAGAGGATGCGATATCAGGCTCAGGTCAAAAGCTCAGAATGGCCAATGTAGAAAAGACCTATAGTCAAACTACAGACCTATGCAAGCAAATGGAGCCTCACTGGAAGTTTGGACCAAAGAAGCTCTTAGCAAAAGTAATCCATAATTAATAGCAGCAAGCAGATTCCATCATGCTGCTGAATTATTCCATTATTCCACCATTATTCACTGACAAATGTTAGTAAAATTAATTATTTTCCTTCTTTCTATTACTCAGAAACAATCTTACTAGTAAAAACGTAGTATCCTGTGGGAGGGAAAAGCCGGATGGTTCTATAGTAGTGTTCTAAATACGTCTTGGCCTGTTTTAGAATAATGCATCTACTTTTGGAACATGCAGTCAATTTAACCTTAAGACTAAGATGCACAAAAAAAAAAAAAAATCAGTGAGGAGGAGGACCCACCCACCTCTTGCACTAACAGTTGTTCAGGAACTCAAGCAGAGTAGAATACGATTGTAATTAGGTAACTAAGTCTAATACATGGAATAGGAGCTGGCCCTCAGTCTTATACACTCCAGGGCAACAATTGAAAGTACCTACTGAGTCTGGCTTATCCATATGAGTCAGTTCAATAGCATTGCTCTCCTAAATGGTCCTATATATTGACACCTGGTCACAGACTCTGTTGGATAAATTAGTTTCTAATTCTTTAAAGCATGGGTGGTCAATCTGTCTGTAGTACACAGCAGACTCGGGAGGGAGCAAGGGACACAGGGACAGCTAGCAGAAAGCAGGGTAACAGATCAGGCAAGGGAAAGGTATCAGTTGCACTCAAGGGGCGTGCCTACACAAGATGTTTACTGCACAGTAGACTACTTAGCTGTGCAGTAAATGTCATGTGTCTTCACATGTACCCCATTAGGCTGAAGTAAACTAATTTACTCCGCAGTAATTTACTAATTACTAGTACATTTACAAGTACTATCCTGCTGTGGAGTATTTACTCTGTATCGGTACACATGTAGACACTGCCCCAGCTAGCTGGGGCATGAGGGTGCTTCAGTGCAGGGGCTGCCTGCTGGCTAGCCCCACAGTGAAACACTGTCATCCCCAGCCAGCCCTTTCCAGCACATTGAGCTGAGCTGGGCAGGAGCAGCCCACAGCTGGCAGGTTGACCCTCTGGACCTCCTGCCAGCCAGGGCTACTTCACCACAGCTCAATACGCTGCGATTCTGGGTTCTGGGCGCATGTGAAGACGTGCACCCAGGAGCAATAAACTCTGGGGCAATAAGCTCTGGAGTTTATGCAAGCATATTAATATGCATGTGTAGACATGCCCAGGGAGTGTGTGGGGCTCTGCCAGAAAGGTTGCCCCCAATGCTTTAAAGCAGTCTTTTTTTATAAATCTGTGGATGGACTACAGTGCAAGGGACTAATATGACAGCTGTGTTGACTGATACAAGTCAGGGCACTGGAACCTTCTGCAGATTATTTTAATTCTGATCCAAAATACCCACCTGTGTGTTCTATGGGCAAATGAGAACAACAAACTCATTTCTACTAGTAATCTAAAGTAGGATTTAGAACTCTCCCATTCTCAAAAGATGGTAAGGCACCTCCTGATCTACTGAAACAACTACCCTCTTAGCCTAATGGACTAATTCTCTAAGCCAGACAGAACATATCGAGTGAATTAGAATGTTCTGCTACATGAATATCTAACAGCTAAAATAACACAAATGTACACATGTCACTAGGTATAACAGAAATAAAGTCATTGTCACAGAATGATGTCACAAAATCATTGTCTCCTGCTCTGGAAATGAACAATTTACCCATGCCTTCATATTCATCTAACAGCAGCATGTCATTATCCTTTGATGATGTTCAATTCCTTTAATATTATCTACAAATCATCTTATCCAGGACAGAACTGGCTCTGGGATAGGAATTTTGGGGAATCCCAAAGATAAAACATTCAACAAAAAACACAGTCTCTCTTTGACAAAGTCACTCGAAACCAATGGAGGGTGAGGGGATGAGGAAGGATGCTTTGTTTTGATATCAGTTAGACATCATGAAAAATGGGACTGTTATTTTAGGAGGAAAACAGCTGCATTAGTTAACAATAGTAGTGTGACGGGGCTTGAAAAATATGCTACAATTGTCTTAATTCCATGGATATTTTGTCAAATCTGCAACTTTACTTTATACCAACATACATTTTTTTCAGGACCCTCTTATTTATTGAAGAATGAAGAGTAAACACTGCAAGGACCTGGATGACCCTTAAAACTAGTAACAAGATATAGGACTTTTCACTTCAAGGGTGCTCTGGCCTGCTTTGTGATGACTGGCCACTATCTGATGGCAGCTTGATGCTTTGTGTGATATGATGTGGTGGTCTCAGCCCAATATTTAGTGAACCGGTGATGAAATTATAAGGGGAAAGTATCATGATTGTGGTGGTTTTACATTTACTGAATAAGCCTGAAAAATAATAAACTTTTTCCCCTTTTCAGGTGGTCTTAGTTTTTGACATATTTGTAGGACAGTACTTCACACAGGAGAACCTTGCAATTCTTTGCTTTACCTGTGGATGCCTCTGGACATAATGAAAGAACGTGAAGTCTTTTCTCAGCTTGTGCTTTTCGTCAGCACTAAATGCTATTTAAATATTTTAAAGTCAATTTAGCACTTTTGAAAGGCAGTAGACAGAAGGCACTGGAAATGGCCTTTGAGTGTTGCGAAACTGGAATGCAAGCCCACATTATCTCATCAGGTGCCTCACCCCAACTCCGTAAAAACTGCCTACACGTGAGAAGTTCAGTCTCTATGTTTATTTATTTTTTATCTTTCTGATACAGCTGATGCCTGGTGACTGAGCAGTTAAGGTATCCTGCTAAGGTCCCAGCTAACACCCCAGGTTGTTGAGGAACTTTCTCTAAACTCATGCTGAAGGCTGCTCTCATTGACCTAGCTGTAAATGGGTATACCTGGTAATTCAGGAAGGGGCATCAAAGATAACTGGATGTGATGCTAGCTAAATGACTAGCATCTTTTGTTTGATATTTGAGGTCAACAGCATACCTCAACCATGCTAACCCAGTGAGCCACCTAGGCTCAGTCCAACCTTTGACCTGCTAAAACTGCTGAGGAGGATAACCCCAATGTCCAGACTAGGATAACTAACTACTTTTAAAAGGGTACTTTCCAACCTGTTAATTACTAGTGACTTTCTGTTCATCTGAGATTCATATTGATCACTTAGTGTGGGTATGTATATGTTTTCCACACCAAGAAGCACACCCCAACAATCCACTCCTTGGTACACATCATGCCCATAAATGAGGCAATGAAGTCATCTGGAGGGCACCCCACACTGCCATTATTAAGATTTTTGTCTCCAAACAGTTTCATTTTGCTTGTGTCTGCATTATCAGCTAGCCTTGAGTTTGTTTTCACAGGCAGCTTATGTTCCAGCACTATCAACACAGGCGTGTGAAATGTAGGCCCTGTTACTAGCTCAAATTAACTGAACTTGGCACAAACCGACTAAATCAGAGGGATGGCATGATTGGATATGTTAATGAAAGGTGATAAGTGGAGACCAACTGGACAGTGCCCAATTGCAGAGCCCTTGGAATTTCTGGAGTTGATGGTCAGACCAAATTAGAAGTCTGGGGCATGCCCAAATTAAGACACTAGTAAAAGACCAAATTAAGATGTGTGCATGTGATGGGTTTGTTGGAACAAAGGAATATGCTGACAGGATAAAAACATGAACAGTATGATGATCACAGGGGAACCAATTAATGGTACCCAGAAATTAAGAGTAACCAGAGGAGTAAAGTTAAAGAAAAAGCATAAAATGGAGGCAACAAGGAAGTTGAGTGTATAACGGCATCCAACAACATCTGGACTGAAAAACAGCCAGTACCAACTTGTTGGAACAAAGGAATATGCTGACAGGATAAAAACATGAACAGTATGATGATCACAGGGGAACCAATTAATGGTACCCAGAAATTAAGAGTAACCAGAGGAGTAAAGTTAAAGAAAAAGCATAAAATGGAGGCAACAAGGAAGTTGAGTGTATAACGGCATCCAACAACATCTGGACTGAAAACCAGCCAGTACCAAAAGATGACCATCTTCTACTTTCAGAAACTGATTGGCCACCTTTTCTGTCAAGTAGAGCAATATCTGGGAGTGGGTGAGACCATTGGACTAAGTATTCTTCTATCTTTCTATGTAGAAGTTATTAAAATAACATTTAATATATCAATAAAAGTTAGATTTTAGTTAAGTTGAACTGTGTGAGGCAAATTCCATGTTAAACACTGGGCTGATTATACTTTGGTGATCCTTTAGTGCCCAGGGTGCGTATCAGTTGTGCTTCATAGCAGTGCCTTCAGAGAGCAACAGAAGCAGTATAGACATACCCTTTATGGATAAAAATGGCCCTATATTCCATCACTAAAACTGTATGTTTATTTTGGCTATGACTTCTATATGAGGTTTTTTATGGCCCTAACAGATGTCTGACTGTAGCACATGTAGATATACCTGAACTACTTTTAATGCAGATTTTTTGGGGACTAGCTACAGTGTAGGTGCATCAGCACAGAGATAAGTGGTACAGAGGTAAAGCTACAGAGGTAAGGCTACAGAGGTAAGTGTGCTCAGGACCATGGGTTTGCACTTGGGCAGCTAGTCCACACAGAAGTACTTGGTATCCTGGCTTCAACAGAATAAGAATAAGATTTAAAGCTGACTCACCTAGGTCTATGTGTGCTATTGCAACATCTAACTGCAATGTGGATGTGGGTCTTTGCCACTTGGTTCAGTCTTCTTGTCAGCTGGATTTTACCGATGTATTTACCAATGTTGGCCCAGCAGATGTCCAGGCCAGGGATTTCCTCTTAAATTAATTTTAACCATTTGTACTGGAAAATAAGGGATTTTCCAGGAAATGCGAGCCATTAACTTTTGAGATTTCTTCTATATATTTATGAACTATTTTCATTTTCCCATAACCAGAGCATGACTTTTCTCCTAATTTCCCATAACAAAAAATCAGCTTTAGCCATTACTCCCCTCACTTGAATTCTCCTATTGAAATATGTACATTAAACTATTAAGAGAGCTCATTTTACACTTGTTATTTTTTAAATTACCTTAACTGAGGTATTTGATGCTTCACAGTTATCAAAAGATAATGCTAAAAGAAAAAAAAGACATTTCAATGAGTGATTATTAACAGTTCGTCTTGTCATAGCTACTTTTACTGTAATATGTGTATTAACATTTAACTATGAAAGGAATCACACCAACACGGTTCTTGTAGGGTATCATCTTTGCCACTTACAGTTTCTATGATCTTATACAACAGCCAAAAGAATTGTAACAGCTGGCCTAGTTTCTCTATACCTCCCATGGCAGAACTAATACACAATGAATACTTTGAGGTTATTGCAGATGACAAACAAAGTGCTAAATACTGGGCACATCTACCCATGCACTTTAATGCATAGTAGATTGATTATTTTACTGTGCATTAAAGTGTCATATAAAAACGTGACATTATGCTGCTGTGCAGTAAAATAGTCTACTGTGCATTGAGCGTCACTAAAAAAGCATGCAAACGCAGACTCAATTGGCACCATTGCTCTTTACAGAGCATGGTGTATGTGCTGATGAGTTCTTTGATGGCTGCTGAGTCCAATGCGCAAGTGATAGTCCCACCCACACATTAGCAATGTTCTGAATCCAAGCAGCAGATTCTTTCCTCCTCTGATGCTGGTCATCACAAAACTTGACCCAGTCTGCCCCACAGAGCTTCACTCCATCTGTAAGCTGACTCCACCAACCAAAGCGGCATTCTGCACTCCTTTCCCAAATCATCCACAGAGATTCCAATGGATGCTAAGTCATCTGTGCAAGCATTCCAAAATCTATGCAGCGGTCTGCCTCTCTTTCTAGACTCTTCCTGAGCTTCAGAGTACAGCACATTCTTTGGGATCCTGTGATCCAGTATTCACTTGACATGGCCAAGCCACCTGAGTCTTTACTTACTAATCAATGTTCCCATGAATGACATACCAACTGTAATAGTAAGGACTTTGCTTAATGCTCATAGCAAGAGTTTTGTATGCTGACTCCATAGTAGGCCGGTATTATAGCACATAGCTTTTTGCTCTGTGAGCGTGACCGAACCATGAACCTAGATAGTAGAATGTTGTAATAAAGCAGAATGTGGTAAACACCAGGTGTGTTGGATCACGACTCATCCCCAAATTCTTAGCTTGAGATAACCAAATCCCTAGTTCAAGAAAGCGTTATTTACTCCAGACTATATAAGCTGTACATTCTTAAGTTACGGGAGTTCCTCACACTCCGACGAGAATCCGGACTTGCGCAGAGCCCGGCACAGGCTATCGCATCCCCGGGATCGAGACACTCTGGGGCCAGGGGAACTATGCAGGGTAGCACTGCCTAGAGCCGATGTGAAGTGATCATCCTCTCTGCTCTGTCTTATTGCCTGCCTCTGCGAGTATCCTTAAATAAAGCTTTGCGAGAGTGAGAACAACCATGAGTACGTCCTTTGTTCAAGCACAGGGAATCTTCTGAACCCAGTAGTTCATTCTAAGACACCAACACGATTTAACACTTCCAGATTTGTCACCCTTGTCTTGCCATCTTATTCGATGCATTCTACACAGGCATCTGATATGAAAGCTGTTTAGTCTTTTGATATGTTTGGTGTAGGTCATCCATGTTTCTGAGTCATACAGAAGAGTGGAGAAAACACGTCTCATAAATATGGATTTTCACTTTAGTTGACAGTTTGTTATTGTTCCAGGCTCTGTCTTGCAAAATACCAAAGTTCCTGGCTGCTTTGCTGATTGTACTAGTAAGCTCAGCATCAAGATCTACATTGCTGGTAACAGTAGAGCCAAGGTAGAAAAATTGGTCAACAACATCAGGACAAGTTCATCTGTAATATCTGGAACTGGATCTGATGAGCCTTGGTGCATGATAACAGTCTTCTTCAAGCTTATTGCTAGCCCAAAGATTTTTCATGAGTCACAGAACTTAGTAATGAAATGTTGTAGGGCATCAACACTGTGAGCCACAAGGGATGCATTACCTGCAAACAACAGGTCCCTTATGATGATCTCCTTTACCTTCGTCTTAGTTCTGAACCTTGCAGTATTAAAGAGTCCTCCATCGTGTCAAGTACTAAGATAGACAACCTCTCGAACATCATGGAATGAAGGAGGAAGGAGGAAAGAGACGTAAATGTTAAACAATGTGGGAGCCAGTAGACAGCCCTGCTTCACTGCATTGTTGATGTTGAATGAGTCAAACTCTTGCTTTTCATACATTACAGGTGCCTTCATGCCATCGTGAAAGGATTTCACAAGCTTCAGCAAAATAGGTGGGCAACCAAGGTTCTTCAGAACAGTGTAAAGCCCTGACAGACTAACTGTGTCAAAGGCTTTTGTTAAATCTATAAAAGCTATGTACAATGGAATATGCTTCTCTGTGCTTTTCTTGCAGTTTTCCTGCAGTTTTCCCACATTAAATTTAGTACTTCCAGTGTGAGATACTAAATTAATGCGCATAAGAAAAAGGTGCATTAATGCACATGTAGACGTGCCCACTGTGGCCCAGGTTTACTCCTTAACCAATATGTAGTTGGCATAAAGAAGGGGGCAGGGTACTGGCAAGATGAGAGAGTTAGGATTATGATTCAGACTGTATTCTCTTTGGGCCTTATATCTTAAGTATAGCAAGGGTTTGATGGTGCAGTTCTTGAGGAAGTCTTCTTCCAGGTGGCTCATAAAAAGGTTGGTATACTGTGGAGCCATTTTAGTGCCCATAGCTGTTCCCATCATCTGGAGGAAGTGTTGATTATTAAAAGTAAAATTGTTGTGTGTGAGGATGAAGTGTATAAGCACCAAACCTCGCCAACCTCATCACCAGAAGCAAACTTCCTCAAATCCAGAACACACCAAAAGGATCCAGACCGTGCCATGACAAGAAATGCAAAACCTGCCAGCACATCTCCACCACCCCCACAATTACTACACCCCACAACAGAGCCATCAGCATCCCTGGATCTTACAGCTGCACCTCCAGAAATGTAATATACCTCATACAATGCACCAAATGCCCTGATGGAAAATA